CCCCCCCCCCCCCCCCCCCCCCCCCAGCTGCAGCCACTTTAAGGAGAGACACCAGCTGGTGTTAACCCACCAGCTGGGGGCACTTGGTGAGAGGAGGGGGGAAAAGGCTGGGAAAATCCACCCATCCTGGTCCTTAACATGCCCTGGATGCTGTAAATAAGGACAACATTGGGAACCCAGCGGGGACCGTAGATTGTATGCCTAGCACTAACTCAGCCCCAGGAAGAGCCCTGGCAGAGAACCTCAGCAGCTGGACTGATGAATTGTACCGGAATTGGCTGTTCTTTTCATTGCTGTCTGGCAGTTCCTCCCCCTTCAAACTGCTCAGCTGCTGAGGGTGCCAGAGGAGGGGCAAGTGGGATAGAATGGGTGGCTCCAAGAGCTTGTCCAAGAGACCCTCATGAAACTGACAGACAGACAGACAGACAGACAGGTGCACACACACAGAGGGCAAATCCATATTTTTCTCAAAAGGATTTCTAGGTTCCTGTAAAATTACATGCCTATGCATCTGGAAAATGTATGGTGGGGGGCAGGGGGGCTGCATGGACCTCATGCTGAGTCGGAAGAGGCTCTAGACAAAGTTGCTGCTCGTGTTTTTCCCCAGAAGTTTTCCCCTGCTGGCCTGTCAATGTTCTGGGTGACCACTCAGCTGGTGGCTGCTCCTCCTCCTCGCGGTATTTTGCGTAGTCATTGGGAAGGAAGCTGCCGCGAATTCAGTGGGGAACACACACAGGGCCAGTTTCAGTGTTTCTTAACACCAAGACTTCTTTCATCTTTCATCAAGGTGAATTGCTCAACCAAGCAAGATTTCTTTCTGGGAAATCTGGAATGTGGTTCAGGGTTCCCAGTGACTCCCCCACTGGGTTTCTTTTCTTGGTGGAGAAATAGAAGGCGACTCTCATAAGATGCCCAGAGTCTTGTACAAGTGGATGGCCACTGAAATCAAATCAATCAATCAATCAATCAATCAATCAATCAATCAATCAATCAATGATGTTGCAAATTCACCTGCCAAAACAACTCCAGAAAAGATAGCAGGTGTGCTAAGCCACCACTGTGAAGAATATTTGGCAAATAAAGTTGCTCAGATCTGCACCCAGGTGGACTCCTGGGTGGCCGAGGTATCAGGGGTGTAGCCTGCTAGCACGATCTGGGATGAGTTTGAGGTGGTGACTCTTGAGGAAGCGGACAGGGTTCTCTATGCCGTTAGCTCAGCCACCTCTTTGTTGGACTAAGGCCCTTCCCGGATTGTTAGGGCTGCCAGGCGGTGACGTGTAGCTGGGTCCCTGCAGTGGTGTTGGGTGGAGGCCCCCTTGTTAGAGGTGTTTGATATACGCTCTGTAGGTGTTGATGTTATTTGTCTGAATTTCCTTTATTGTATTTTTTTATTTCTTTCATATTTGTATTTTGTTTTTTTATATTGTGAGCGCTCATCTCTCCTCCCTCGACCAGGGCACCATCCATCCCCTGACCCAGCGCTGGAGTCATGGCTGTTTTTGACTCCTCAATCTCTTATGCCCCTGGTTCTTTCTGCAGACAAGCCATGATGCCTCTACTTTTCCAAATGTACAAAACCACCCTCCTTCCTCTTCGTCCCAGGCAAAGACTCCGGAGTGGAGTTCAGGTGGTCCCACCAACACTGACCCACTCATCAGAGGGAAGGATACGGAGTATTCCTAGGCTTATCTACTTGGATATAAGATCCACTCCTTTCCAAGCAAGCATAAACATATTTATTTATTTGTTTATATATTTAAAAAGCAAATGCAGACACATGCCCGAACCCCAGAGGGCTCCAGTCTCTCAAGAAACTGGTCTGTGCTGAAGACCTGAGGGAGAGGACAACAAGGTTGCAGGGTGCAAAAGCGCAGCTGCGCCACCACCTGTTTACCTCCTAAAAGTCTCCCTGGAGGGCCTCCTCACTGGGTTCGCTCTCAAACCCATCTTCATAGATGGCGACCACCTGCAGGGCCACCATGTTCCTTACGGTGGTCCTGGACATCCACACGGTCTCCATCTTCTTCCCTGTCTTGTATTCGTACCACCCATTTTCTGCTCGTTTTCGGTAGCGGAGCTTGTACTGCTTTATGACGATGCCATCGGCCACAAAGCTAGGGCAGCTCCAGATAATTTGGATTTGAAAGGGGAAACAGGAGCCCCTCTCCACCAGGGTTGGTTTCCCGGGAGGGCTTGAGCGGGGGGTGGTCTCCACCACTCCACTCACATCACTGAAGTGACTGAGTCCCAATTTGCTCTCCATGGCATACCGAAATTCATATTTAGTCTTTGCTTCCAGCCCCATCACCCAGAACGTCTCCTCTGTCCCATTTACATACGCAAACATCCACTTTTCTTCCCCAAAGACCCTATACTGGACGTAGTAACCCGATGTCACCCCTTTCTCTGACTCGGCTGGCTGAAAGGTCAGCTGGAATCGGTCACAGGAAACGGCGTCAATGAGTGGCTGGCGGGGTTTGGAGAGGAGCTTCAGTCGGGTTCCTTCCAGGCACCCACTGGGGTACCGGACAATCTCAGCTCCCGGGTTGCTCTCATCAGGCTTTGAGGTTACGATGAAGCGGATCTTCCCCAGGTGGTAGCCCTGGGAGAACCCCGCAAACACCATGGCTGCGTCCTGGGCTCTTTCCAAGATCTTTCTGTCCTCAAACCAGGGGGTTGAGTCCTTCTCCTGTACTGAAGCCTTGGGTACAGAGCCAGAGGCCTGATCCAAAACAGCGTTCAGCTTATCTAGGTAGGGTTCCCTTGCTTGCAGAGAAGTAAAGGTATAGGCAAGCACAGTATCAATTCTTGGATCGAGAATCCTTTTCACTAGGTCATCTTGGGAGGAGACCTTACCTTTTGACAAGTCCAGGAAGAATTTGATGAAATATATCTCCTGATACTTCAAATCCAGGAATCTGTGGAGCGAGGCAGTGTTGAACGCCGACTGCTCGTTCTTCCTCAAAAGGTTTATCAGGACGTCGTCCCTGGCTCCTCCTCCACGGATGGAGGGCAAGATCGTGGCTAGCTGTTTCTGTAAGCCAAGCCGGTACTCCTCACACAAGTCTTTGAAACGCACGATTTTCTTCAGGATTTCTGGGAAGGTGGTTGTAATGCTGTCCTTGAGCAGGTCGTTGCATCGCTTGTCAAGTTCCATGAGTTTCTCCAGGGCCTTCTCAGTGTCGGAGATCACTCTGGAGCTCACCTCACGAACCAGCCGGGCAGCCCTTGAGTTCAACCTGCTCAGGGGGAAAAGCCACACTTTTACGGGCACGGACCTCTCCCCATTACTTCCCAACATTTTGGGAAGTTTGGAATATATTCTTAAGGCTTCCTCATATGTTGTTGGGTTGCGGTCAAGGGCAAAATCCCCATAGAAGATGCAGCTGCACTTCGCCACAGCAGCCTTTTCTTGTTCATCCAGGCAGATTCCTCCACCCTGTCCTGCCTTAGATAAAGACAGCAAAGGCATCTTGGTCACCATGACGTGGAGCTTGGCTTGAATGTTCTGCAGGCTGTCCGAGGAGAACGCCATCTGGTCAAAGATGAAGAAGGCGTTGGCTCCATACAGAATCCCCGTGACCACGTGGGTGGCAGTGTCTTGCTCAAAGACCTCTGGGTACATGATGTGCTCCTGCCCGATTTGGCACATGGTCATCTGCTTGAAGTAGGTGGTGGCCGAGTACTTGAGGGCCATGCGGGCCTGGTAGGCTGACTCTGGGGTATCACAGAGGTACTTGGCTGCGCCATCCACTGTCACCAGCCCTCCAAGAAAGCTTGCCTTGAGGGAGGCCGAGACATTCAGCGCATGGGCTTTGTTGCTGAGCGTATCAAAGGCGATCACTTGGGTTTCTGTGCTGGGCTGCAGCTGGGTCTCGATATTCCTGGTTAAAACTCCGGGATCCCATAGGGTGATGCCTGCCACAGGACAAAGACAAGGTAAGGCAGCCTGTAGCAGCAAAGCGTTGCACGTAAAAGGCCAGAGAAAAGGCACACCCAAGGGGAGAGGAGGCCTCCTGCTTTTTAACACTGTTGCTTCCCAAAAGTTGATAATGAAGCTCAAGCTCAGATACTTTGGCCACCTAATGCGAAGAGAGGACTCTTTGG